CAGAACTTCTGATTTCTCCTGAGAAAGCAGAAAGCCTCATTTTGTGTGTGTGTGAAAACTCCTGATTATGTAAATAGCAACTATTTCACAACTTCAAAACCAGGTGGGGTCCATCCCTGCAAAGCCAAACCAAACATGTCTGCAGGCCAAATCTGGCCCTGAGGTACCTGTGTGTGACCTCTGATTTACACACATCCTACTGTTCCTGTGTTCAGCAGGATATGGAGGGCTGAGGCCCCTCCCATCTCTTCTTTAGAGTCCCCCCACAGACTACCCTAATGGCTGCTGATCCGGATGTGTCCTGACATTGCCAAGATTTTCCACAGAGTTCTTCATGCACCTTCATGTGTGGACATTGTAAATAATTCTTCTCATGAAAAGTTAACTAGGCCTTGAACTAATTCAGCAGGGTCACCATCTGGGAGTCCTCAGAAACAGTGAATTGTCAGCACTGTAAACATTTTAGGCTTCAGGGAGGACACTGACTTTTTCTAAACTAATCACCCCTGCCAGTCAAGATTCGCGGTATGGGTTCAAGAACAAGGCGTTCATTTAACAACAATAACAAAAACAGTAAGGATGAAAACTGGACAGTCGTCATAATGAAAGGCCTAAAAGCAAACTGTGACTTCCCTAATAAGGCGACGACCAAAGCTGGCTCCCTGGCGGTCGAGCACCAATACGATTAATCAGTCTGTTTTCAGTTTTCTCACGACAGCAATATTAACAGTTTGCTTTATTCTGTTTATATGGTGCTGACAGGTCTTCAGTGTGCTGGGCCTACTTCTTGGAGATTAATGGCCACTCTTATACTGAGGTAAAAACCAGGCAGGGAGAGAATGCCTTTTACAACTAGATAAGGACTAGATTCTCTTGCTTTTTTTGTTCCCCTATAGCCCATCAACTCCTCCCTCTTTTAATTTCTATCAGGGATATGTAAGATCAGTCCTGTCCAGCTGGCTCCCCTCACTGTTTAAACTCCCCCCACTTCAGATGTTATGTCCTCAGGTGAAACAAGGGGAACCTCAGATACTGATTTTGGATAAGCTTATCATCTCTAAAGGTATTATTGGCTAATTTTGTTTTTAAAAAGATTCCACATAAAAGTGAAAAATAAGTGTGAGGTGGCCTCTGGCAGTAGGAATTTCAGCATGTTAGGTGGGCAATGAATGGTTCCCTTTTGTATTTATGGTCATTTTTGTAGACACTGAAGAAAGCAGAGTTGATAGTAAATGTTACCCGGCTGCAGTAAGTACACACACCCCCCAAAAAATCTCTTTAGAGATTATTTCACTCAGTAGTCATATTTCAAAATAAATAAAAGAGATGTGAAATAATACAAGACCAACCCCCTTCAACCCACTCCCCTCCTCTTCCCACCCCCCACCCCCCAAAAAGCTGTAAGAGTACTGCTTTTTACTGGTAGACTTTTCTCTGTCTCAGGTTGGAGAGAAATGGTAATTCCAAACATTGTTTTAACAGCATATAAGCATAGGAAATCTAAAATAACAAAAATTAAAAAGAAAAAAATCAATGTTCAAGAGGAAGGCCTTTCTTATTGTTTGCTCTTAGGGAGACTCTGCTCCACCCATCTTATGAAACAACCACATAGATAAGTATGCATTGTATGACTAGGAACCGTGGGCTTGGGCCCCACCAGCTTTACAACTCATCTCTCCTTGCTCACTCCTTTCCTGACACAGTAGTAGGAGAAGAGAATTACTTCCTATAGAGAAGACATGGGGTGCGGGGGTGGGCAGAGTGCGGCTTTTAAGTACAGAATTTTATCAAAGATTTTTAAAGCCAGATTTTTAAAGCCAGGAACATTCTAGGATACAAAAGCAGTATTAATAACAATAGTATTTATTGAGTGCTTGCTATGTACTAGCACTATTTTAAACACTTCAGTTTACAAACCCATTTAATTCCCACCACAGAATGCATTGAGGGAAGAGTTAAATAATAAGTTTTGCTTGAAGTGCAGGATATTTGGGAGAGTAGAGCAATATACTAGGCTAGATTTGGGCAGATCTTACATTCCATACTTATACTTTAATAATTTGCCTAATGCAAAGGTTGGACTGGAGAGGGAAGAAACTGAAGTTAGATAGACTAGAAGGATATTGCAGCAGTCCTGAAATTCTCAACCAGGGTGGTGCATTAGAAAAGGAGAGAAGAGATTTGAGAGTTATCTCAGAAAAAAACCCAATTATTTTTTAAATTTCTTTTTACTGATTTGATTGGTTCTTTCATTCATTTGTTCATTCATTCAAAAATGAGTTTTGAGGGCCGACCCCATGGCTCACTCGGGAGAGTGCAGCGCTGGGAGCGCAGTGGTGCTGGGAGCGCCGAGGCCACGGGTTCGGATCCTATATAGGGATGGCCGGTGCGCTCACTGGCTGAGCGCGGTGCGGGCGACACCAAGCCAAGGGTTACGATCCCTTTACCGGTCACAAAAAAACCACTATTTTTGAGGGTTTTGGATGGGTCAGACCCTGTTGGGAAAATACAGGAAAATGGTCAGGGCCCCTCAGATGTTCAGAATCTTGCCAAGCATTTGCTGTGAGAATAGGGAGTGTGTGTGTGTGGTGTGTGTGTGTGTGTGTGTGTGTGTGTAGTGTGCATGCACGCAAATGTATCTTTTTAGTTTTGTTGCTATTCCTGTGTTCTTCAGAGTTTGTGAAGCAGGCTGGCTGACTACTGCCTACATGCTTTCCAACCTATGGCTTCCAAGGACCTGTTTGCTGGTTACCTAGCTCATAGACCTGCGTGTGAAGGGTCTGTGACACAGTCTGGAACGGGCTTGAGAGGTCTGTGAGTTTCATACCCAGCCCTAGCTTGACAATTGGCCCAGTCGGGGCAGGATTACCGGCAGGTAAAAGAGCCTGACAACTGGCGTAGTCAAGTAGCTTTACAGACCCTATGCTAAGTGGCAAACAGGGAAGATAAAGAAGAATTCGAAGATGACTTCTTCCTCTGAATTGAGTTACTAGCCATTGCTTACAGTGGTCTAAACTGACATTTAATATACATCCACCAACCCTCCCTCCCTGCTTACTTCCCTCCATCTATCCACTCGATACTTATTGACCACCTACCTTGTGCCAGGCATTGCATTACACAATGGTTACGAACAAGACCAGGAAAGAAAAATGAAGAGAAAAGAAAAAAAGACTGCTGTCTTCATTCTCATAGCTTTGGGACTGCCTTCTTTCTAGAACTTCCATTTCTTTCCTGGTGGTCTGGCCATAAAGTGCAGTACATGGTGGTAAACCACCAGACTGCTGGAATAGAGTAGAGATTCTTAGTCATCCATATGAGGAAAGGACCTCCTATTTAATTTCTAAATGTGTGCCCTGATTTGGCATATTTTAACCAAAGCAAAACATTATACCACAAAAGTAGCCGACATGATTCTCACATGTAGATTTTAATATCATATAAAAATATAGGAATAACAACAACAAAACAAGCTCTGAGCAAAGCCAGAAGGTACTGAAAATAACAGAACAAACATATTTTAAACATTAAAATATTGTATCTAGTTTAGTTGGTAAATCAGTTTGAGACATATAATTCTACTGCCTTCCAGGCTAAGCCCTGATCTTTTAAAATTAAGATCTGTTTAGATTTTTTTTTTTCTTTTTCCTTTTTTTTTCGTGACCGGCAACGGATCGCAACCCTCAGTGTCGCGCCCCTACCGGACCGGGACCGGCAACGGGATTGCAACCCTTGGTGTTGCACCCGCACCTCGCTCAGCCAGTGAGCGGGAACCGGTCTGTATGTGGGATCCGAACCCTCGGCGGGAGTGCCGCCACACTCCCAAGCAGTGCACTGTAGCAGTGCGCCACCAGGCCGGCCCATCTGCTTAGATTTTATAAGATAAATCCTAACCATTTTCTGGTGCTTTCTGAAAAACAACGAGGTAACAGAATGACTACTACTGAGAAGTATGTTGCTTTATGGCAGCTGCCTTTTTATTACCATTTTATGAGAGTTTGTCTAGATATTATGTGTCCTTCACTATCTACATTTAGTTCTTTTTAAAACATCTTCAGATGCCTGGGGTTGTATGTCAGTTTCTTTGAATCTAATTGGATCTCAGACTGCAATCTCTATCACTTTAATACTTTCCAAAGATTCTTATGTAGGTAAGCTTACCTCCAAAAACATTTAACATGATTAATGTATGCTGCTGGTCATTTCTATTAAAATGAAAAAATCAAAAGGTATTTTTAGGGACTTATGAACACCAACAACAATTATTTCAAGCATAAGCTAGTTCGTATATGCCCAGGGTGATAATTTAAATGCTCATAAATCTAACTGTAAAAGAAGGAATTTTATGAGAGCAGGCACATTTTAACTTAAATTTTATTTTGAGGATCTGAGCCTGGTTTGGACTTGTGTGTTCTACGAACTGTAAGCTAACTAAGCCATGGAAAAGCAGCCTGCACCAATGGTAAGATGAAAAGGCAGAATCCTGGGCATCATTTACTGAGTTTGGGTATTTGTTTCTGTATGGAAAATAAGATCTGAATAACCATCTACTTATTTCCCACTGAAAAAATGTTTTTGAGTTATAAAATCTTTCTTCAAACGTGCTTATTTTTACTGATGATAAATAGGAATTGAAATTGAAAAATGATAAAACACTACGTAAGTGATCCATGAAGACAGTCCCGTGGTTATTATATCAAATTAACATATGAGTAAGAGAAGAGAAGCCTTCACCGCCCTGAGCGCTAGATCCAGGGGTTAAAAGCCTTCAGTTACCCTGAGACATTTTCATTTTGCTGAGCTCAACCAAATAGAGGACCTCGGAGGAAAAAGTCAAAGATGAACCCAGAGGGAGGCGGTGGTAGAGAGGCGGAGGGACAGCCACAGAATTACAGACAGTCCTGTTGGAAAGGCCTTTGGAGATCGTCTAACCACCCTCCCAGGGCAGGAAAGAAAAACACACTGGAGCCGTCTGACACTTATGACATTATGACTCTTACCTGCGGCGCAAATCCTCTGCCACCGCTGCCCGGCAGCTGAACAAATAGGCCCGGAGTGACTTCAGCCGCTGCCGCAGCCGCACCACGGTGGCCAGCGGCTCTGCGTGGCGGTACAGTAAGGGGTTCTCCTGCTGGATGTCGATCAAGGGCTCTTCGTACACGTACTCCAGAAACTCTTTGGCCTGCTTAGACACCTACAAAACAAGCTGTGCCAGTCAGTTCTGGAGAATCATCCAGCTTTCCACGCCTGCTCAAACTGGAAACCATAGCTTCAATATCAGAGCAACAGCACTGTTTTCTGAACACAGCCAAGTGCAAAAGCCCATAGTTGAACTACACATAAGTTTTCGCTTTTCTTTCTCTCTTCCAGAAACTCAACTGATAACATTAACCTTGGAAGGTTGATTGTGCTGGTGATTACACATATCTATACACGTGATAAAATGATACAGGACTATACTGACCTCTTATACCAATGTTAATTTCCTGTTTTTTTGTTTTTTGTTTTCTTCTTGATATTATACTGTAGTAAACTAAGATGTAACAAATGGAGAAAACTGGGTGAGGTACACAGGGCCTCTCTCCACTGTCTGTATAATTTCCTGTGAGGCTATAATTATTTCAAATACAAAGTAAAAAAAGGGAAGTCATTAAGACCCTCTTAATAACAACACTATTTTAAAAACTACATAAATATGTATGTGCATATATATGTATGTATATTCCATAACATTTCTAAGAAGTAGACACTTTTTAAAAAAAATAGATAAACCATGCACATTTACAAATTTAGAAGGAATAAAAAGGATATTCTCAGAAAAAAAAGCATATTATATGTAGAATAATTTGACTGAATAGGAAAAAGGCTCAAACAAACTACTCCAGTGACTAGAAAGTAGTTGCTAAACTTTTTTCTGGCCAATATATCTATCTAACTCTAAATCCACTTCTGGTAGGAAATGGTTAACTATGGAAGTTGATTTTAGAATGTCATTGACATCAGTAGAAATAAATAGTGCATTGGAAACACAATGCATCAGAGATACAGAAGGAGTAGCAAAAATAATGCATAACATGTGGGTAGTTTTTTGGAATTTGTATATACCATTTCGCTGATACTGAGATGTGTATTGGCTAGTGATACATAGAGAGTTTGCTCAGTTTCTATTTACGGAAGGTGAAACTTCTCCAAAACGTTTCTGGTAAAACCTCTCTAGGAGCAAGGCTGGAATTCAACATGAAAACAAATAAACAAAAAACATTGCTTATCAAAAAGAAAATTAAAAATCCACTATCTTTCACACTTTCAGCTAAAAGCTTATTAAAGAAGATAAATAGGATACAGTCTCTACCCTCGAGGCGCTCACTGTTTAGTATAAATAGAGACAAATATTTAAGACAAAATTTCATGTAGCATGTAACCTGTCACCTGTTACAAAAGACATATGGGTGAGGCCCACTGGTAACTTAAAGGAAGGAGAAATCAACTCTCCTTGTCAGGAGAGAGCTAGGAGCCAGGGAAGGCCTGGCAAAGCAGATGACACTAATCCAGGTCTACAAAGATAAACAGAAATTCACTTGGTGGACAAGGATGGGACAGAGAGCACAACAGGCAGACACAACCTCAAACACCCCTCAATGTGTACGCGTGATAATTAAATGTATGGCTATTGTGTGTTGATTAAAAACACAAATTTCTGGTACATGTAACAGTATATGAAATTCAATATTATCATTTTCTTATATTGTAAAGTTCATACCAAAGTTTATGTTCCTTATAGAAATGCAAAAAATGCATCATTTTAAAAAACAAAAGTCTCTTTTTTTTTTCCTCCTAAGCTATTATTTTTGAGGCACCTGTTGTATTGTGTGAGCCTATAGCATCCTGCAGAGTTAGAGAAGCAGACAGTATCTGCAAATCCAGGTCACAAAGAGACTCCTAGAATTAGCCAAAACCTTTGACTATTTAACCAGATTGGAAATAACATTTATTCCAAGTTGACAAGGCTAAATGATCCTCACTCTTATTTTCGAGACATACAGACACAGGTACATGCCAGATCCTGTAGCAGGTATTAGATATTAAGTAGAGGAAAAGATAGGCATGTCTCACAGGTAGCTCACAGTTCAGTGGGAAAGACAGAATTAAGTTTAAATATTTTATTTATCATGTTTAAATATTTGCTATATGAGGAAAAAACTCATGGTGTTCTGGGAAATGAAGTACAATCCACTTGAAACTGTTGCTAAAAAATGATGTATTGTACAATTCAATTAGTCTTTCTGGCTCTATTGAACAGTGTTTATACTGAGTCAGGGCCCTGCTTTATTAGGTTAACAATGCTACCTTTTAGTAGGTGAACAGAAGGACAAAGGGCACTGGCCAGTCTCCCAGGCCTTAAAAGGCTTCTCTCTTCAGGTGGTACTTAAGCCAGAAAGGGGAAAAAAAAAAAAAAAAAAAAAAAAAAAAAAAAAAAAAAAAAAAAAAAAAAAAAAAAAAAAAAAAAAAAAAAAAAAAAAAAAAAAAAAAAAAAAAAAAAAAAAAAAAAAAAAAAAAAAAAAAAAAAAAAAAAGAAAATCTTGTACAGAGACAGTAAAAGCAGCAAGACAAATGGGACAGCAGCTACTGACATCAGTATTCATAAACTGAAATTACAAAAAACAAAAACAGAGCTAGTTTCAGCATCGTCAAAGGCCCTGCCTTCACACGTTATTAACCAGCTTTAAGCATACAGGGCACATCATTCCAGCTGCTGCTCGAGTGCATGAACAAACGTCTGCCATGGAGAGCCATTTTTGGCAGCAAGGCTGAGCACATGCTCTAGTTGTTGAGAATCAACCACTAATGCTAGTGGAGGAATTTTTCAGAGAATTCATAATTTGGCATGAAATGCTATTTTTGCAAAATAGAGCATTGTATCCCCACTGGTTTCCTAAGTTCTAAATGACCTTCTACACTGGCATGAGGATTCCACTCTCAAATTCAACCATAACTAAAAAGCATTTTTTAAAAAAGAAATTGTTAAAAAAAAGTAGTTACTCAGGGAAAGAAGCCAATAACATTCTTAGATGATAAAGTTTATGAGAGAGAAAGTTTCTTTCTTGTTAATGTAAATATTACATGAGTTATATGTGAACACTGAGTATGTTCCAACTAAGAGCTAAGAGCTACTGTCCTACTTCTTGCCAGCCAACTTATGAAAAGCCTTAGTGCTGTTTCTTATGTAAATAAAAACTCAGCTTACGGTCAGGTGCAGATGGATGTACACAATACTCTTTATTTTAAAAGAATGAATGGTTTTGGCTGGCACTCTTTTCCATGATCCCACTCCATTCACATTAGAATCTACTTTTACATGGTCAATGGCTCATTTTTCAAACCTACTGACCTATTAGTATTTTACCAAACAATATTTAATATTTATTAATGATGTTCATCTTATTCATATAAATGAATTCCTTTCCATAACTCTTTTAGCTTATAAACAGAAGAGTTTAAGCTATAAGAACAGTGACTGTGGTTGTGTTGCAGTTTGTGAATGGATTCTCTATTCATAGCCCTGTAGTCTCTATGATTCAAGAGAGGTGAGGAGGAGGAGGTCAGGTGGAAATAGTTCTCCTCCCCCCACCTCACATTCAGGAGTTGGAGAAAACAGCACAATCACATTATAATTAGTGACAAACTACTAATGACCAAATCTGCTATTTACACATGTAAATTATAAATAAACACATATGTCATTTGATTTAAACATTAAGTGTCATTGGTATAGATTCAAACCTAACAGATCTTTTGTTATGCTGGTGACAGCTACCTCTTAAAAACAAAGTTCTCGAATGTTGTTCAGGTTTGCATAATCCTGAGAGAGATGTTCTGGAATGGTGTTCTGGTATGTTCCCCCACAAAATAGCCTGGTGTAATAAAGTAATGGGGCAAAGGAAATGTTTAACCATAGGCAGCAATTTGGAGATGATGGGTGGTGGTGGTAGTGAGGACTTTATTTTTATTCAAGGAGGAATATTTATCAAAATAAACATACGAGAACATAATCTTAGAATCACAAGGACTGGTAAAGATAATCTAGTTCAGTTTTTCTAAAACTGTATTCCTAGGAATACTCCTAGTCCTACAGTAAAGATACTTATTCCAACAAGAAATATGCCACACACCACTTGCTCTTCTTGGTGATTCAAAGTACAGCATGTTAGCATATTAAAACTCTGAGACACCTTGTGCTAAAGAACACCTACTTAGCCCAGCCACTTCTTAAACCTATTAGACTATAGCAAGGCAGCTGTTTAGTGCTAGGCAGGATGTATAGGGGTGGGGGAGTGGGAGATGAAATCCAGCTTGGGCCCCGATTACTAACTGGAGGAAGAGCCATCTTTCTCTAACTCACTCCATCCTCTTGCCAAGTTGTGAGCATGCTGGGCCGTGTTCTCCCAGAGGAACACTTTTCCGATTCTCGCAAAGCTGGCCTAGCTGTGGCATTCCTGTGGAGCCCTCTTTTTGAGTAACCCCTATTAACATGTATTGAACTCATAAATGCTCCATGGAATCCACTTTGAGGAACTGAATTAATCCATTACCTATAATTAATTAATAAAAGAGAAAACTGAGTACAGGGAGCTTGAGTGACTTATTTGTGGTCGTTTCATGGCAGAACTGGAACCAGACTCAGATCTCTGGATACTCTGCTCTGTGCTTTTTAGCATTGTTTACATTCACAGTTCTTTTTATTTTTTTAAATTACTCTACCATATACTATCAGCTTATCACCCTACAAAAGAGGTGATCCCTCTCCTATTTCCTCTCTGTTAAATAGAAAAGAAGTAGGCTACAAATGGAGACTAACCTATAATGTACTTAGGCAATACATTGGCATGTAGGCTTCTATTTGATTTTAACTCTAAAACAAAAACTAAAACTCATTAACATTCCATTTAACCTAAAGCCACTTATATGTATATTTGTTTATTGTCTTTCTCCCTCCACTGGAATAAGAACATTCATTAGGGCAGGGACTATGTCCTAGGTGCCTAGATGGTAACAAATGAATGAGTAATTTACAGTGCTCTAGCCATGACTTTGAACCACACATTCTTACTTTAGATACAATTCAACAGCTTTGTTTCTAAGTTCATACAGATTTAGAATCCATAAGAAAGAAAAGGGGAAGGGCAGCTAGAGGCA